ATTGTCTTACCCAACAAGTATGTCTTTTTTTTTTTTTTTCTTTATTTCTTCCTATTTATTCCTTTTATTTATATATTTATTTTATTTATTTTATTTATTTCCTATTTTTTTTATATATTATTTTATATATTTTATTTATTATTTAATACATAAATTACAATATATATACAATAAATACAACAAGTATATAAATTATTAATTTATTTATATTTATTTATTTATATTTATTTATTAATTTATTTATATTTATTTATATTTATTTATATTTATAGGGACTAGGAATAAATATATATGAGGAAATATCTATCCCTTCTTCTTCTTTTTCTGCAAATTCTTCTCCTTTACGTCTACTAAAGAATCGTTTATTAACACAAGTTATTTCTCCTTCTTCTCCTCTTTATTTACCATCTACTCTTAATCTATATACAGGGGAAATTGGTCAGCAGCAGCAGCAGCAGCAGCAGCAGCAGCAGCAAGAGCAGTAGCAGTAGCAGTAGCAGCAGCAGCAGCAGAGCAGCAGCAGCAAGAGAAGGAGTTGCAATAGCAGCAGAAGTAGTACCATTAACAGTATCATTATAAACAGTATTTAGCTGCTGCTTCTTCTTCTTCTTCTTCTTCTGCTGCTGCTGCTGCATTTGCTGCTGCTGCTGCTGCTGCTGCTGCTGCTGTTTATGTGTTTGTCTGTGCTGCAGGTGCCGGTACAGCTTGCGGTGTCCCTACATTTTCTTTATATTTTTCTCCTTCTTTAGGGTTTTGTTGCGGTCAGGTGTACGTACAGGAGAGACGCATGCAAATAAATACACATCTTACTGCAGCAGGAACAAGAACATTAATTGATGCTGCTCTTGCTGCAGCAGGAGCTAATCCATTGCTGCCTCCTGCAGCAGCTACGAGCACCAACAGCAGCAGCAGCAGCAACAGCAGCAGCAGCACTGGAGAGTATGGTAGAGCTGAGGTGTACGTACACCTGACGGAAGGAACACAAGGAAAACAAAATGCATTAGAGATGGCCAAACAATTCTTACCAGGACTCACAAAAAAAACCATCAAGGTATAAACCCTAAACCCTAAACCCTAAACCCTAAACCCTAGGCAGTACAGAGAGAGAGGGAGAGAGAGAGAGAGGGAGAGAAACATTTTAGTAGTTATTTCTTTATTGTTTCTTATATTTTCTTTATTTATATTATTATTTATTTCTTCTTTTTTCCTTCTTTTATGCATGCATGCATGCATGCAGGGGGCCCCAACAGCAGCAGCATTTCATAAGATGGTGATTCGTGACATTGCTGCTTCTTTGTCTATTTCTCCTCATTCCTTTACCCTAAATAGTAATCAATATAATGCATGGGGGCCCCTATTAAGGACATCAGGGGCCCCCGGGGGCCCCTCCTCCTCTCCTGGGGGGCCCCCCTCCTCATCGGGAGGCCCCTGTGGTGTTTCAAGTGGAAAAGGTGGGGTTGTTGAGAATGTGGAAAAGGGTACTAAAGAGGGGCCCCCCACCAGTATGGGGGGCCCCCCTTCAACATTGGGGGGCCCCATGGGGGGCCCCCCTGAAGAGATAAAGAGGGTACTGAATAGGGGCCCTGATCCATTACCAACAACAACAGCATCCCAATTAGGTTTATTAAGTAGTGTTGCTCATCATAGAGGAAAATGTTTGTCTTCTTTTTCTTCTCTTCTTATCCCTCCCCTACATCAAGTTATTCTTCCTCCTAATGCTCCTGCACATTCAGCAAGGTATGCTGCTGCTGCTGTTGCTGCTGCTGCTGCTGCTGCTGCTGTTGCTGCTGCTGCTTGTGTTGTGTCGGTGCTGCTCCATTTGATTCTTATCTTGCCAATCCTGTGCTGCTTGCTGCCAATGCTGCTGCTGCTGCTGCTGCTGCTGCTGCTTCCTGTGCTGCAGATACTTTCAGAAGCTGCTGCTGCTGCCACCACCAGCACCTGTTGCTGATGCCATGCAGCAGCTGCTGCGGCAGCTTATGCTGCTAGGCAACACCTCCTCAGCAAATGGAGGCAATCAGCAGCAGCAGCAGCAGCAGCAGCAACAGCAACAGCAGCAGCAGCTACTGCTGCCTTCAGGGAAAATACCTAATATAGGGAAGGTCGCTCAGCTCATCTCCAGCCGGAAGGTCTGTAAACCCTAAACCCTAAACCCTAAACCCTCACCCTCAAACCCTAAACCCTAAACCCTCGAATTCAATTCTCTGCTGTTTCCCCCGTTTTGTAGAGAAGAGTTCATCCCGACAACCTCTACATTGAGTGTTTAGGGTTTAGGGTTTAGGGTTTAGGGTTTAGGGTTTAGGGTTTGTGTGTATCAGGGGAACCGTTTGTTATTTGCTGAGTTACTAGAGTTGCTGCAGCCAGTGACTTATATCTTAGATAATTATCCGCAGCAGCTGCTGCAGCCTCTCTTCGTGCTGCTGCAGCACGAGGTGCAGCAGCAAGTGTCTGTACAGAGTCTTAAGGCAGGAGTTACTGCTGCTGTACAGCTTATTACAGATGTAAACCCTAAACCCTACATTCAAACCCTAAACCCTAAACCCTAATTCCTTACCCTTTACTATAAACCCTAGTTGCTCAGAAGTGACACCATACTACTCCAAACCCTAAACCCTAAACCCTAAACCCTAATTTGTGTTGCGTTGCAGGTAATACAACAAGATCCAGAAGCCCACAACCAAGCAGCAGATGCTGTTGCTCTTGCTGCTGCTGCTGCTGCTCGGCATGCAGAGGCCGTTGAGTGTTATGCTGATTCAAACCCTGCAGCAACAGAAGCAGCTGCTGCTGCAGCGGCTGCAGCAGCTGCTGCTGCTGAAGCGGCAGCAGCAGAATGCCAAAGAGCAGCAGCAGCAGAAAACCACGAGGCAGAAACCACCACAGGCGGAGTGCTGCCAGCCTTAGACGATTTCTTTCAGCGATCCGTAAGGGTTTAGGGTTTAGGGTTTAGGGTTTAGGGTTTAGGGTTTAGGACTGAAGATCAATGGAGAAGTAAACTGACGAGATTATGACGTACATTTTATTTTTAACGTCTTAGTGTTTATCATCTAATTTCCTTTCTAGGGTTTAGGGTTTAGGGTTTAGGGTTTAGGGTTTAGGGTTTAGGGTTTAGGGTTTGTGTACAGGAGACATTTCGTGGTCATGTTCAGTCTCGTTTATTTGTTCGTCATTTAATTTCTGTTGCTTTGTCTGCTGATGATCTTTTGGAGGTTTTGCTGCAAGACTTTGCTGCTCTTTCTTTACCTCCTGTTCTTATTAAGGGAACAAATGCAGCAGCAGCAGCAGCAGCAACAGCAGCAACAGCAACAGCAGCAACAGCAGCAGCAGCAAAAGGCTCTCCTGCTGCTGCTGCTAAAATGCCATCTGGAGGCAT